ATTCAACTGTAAACCTAAAAATTTACCTTCAAATTTGAAAGACATGCATCTTAGCTCTGGAAATTGTTATTGAATATGTCAATGCTGATGTAATGAAATGCTTCTTCTAAGTACGTGGCTATTAAATAAATAATTTTTTTAAAAAAAGAATTAGGAATCAAGGAGATACCATTAGAAATTCCTTTTACTATAAGAGAAACTGTATCATGTTATGTGAACTCAATTATAACAAAAGATACATATTAAACCTGGGGCAACCACTAATAGTTTTTGAGAAAGACACACGATTAAAACAGTGGTTAATTTTTATTCTCAATGTGACTGGATTAAGAAATACCTATGGCATTATTAAGGCACACCTTTGCATGTTTTAAAAGCATTTCTAAGGAGCATATTTACTGAGCAGGGAGATCACCCTGAATCTACAAAGGATCATCTATCTCCTGGGCTAGGGTCCCCGACTGAATAAAAGGACCAAAGGAGAAATTCAGCTGAGTGCTGGCATTCCCATCTTTCCATTTCCGATGCACTGAGATGTTAGGAGTCCCAGTTGCACACCCCCATAATCATAAACTCCTCTATGTCCTCCTATCCAGGTTGGACTATACCCTCTCAAACCATGAGCTGAAACAAATGTTCCTTCCTTTAAGTTGCTTCTCATCAGGTATGTGGTCACATGGATGAGAAAATACAAAAAATTAGTAAAAAAATGGAGTTTATTGTGATAAACCTGGCCATGTGGTTCACAGGCCTTTATGATAGGCAGGGGGAGTGTGGAAGAGTTTGGAGCTGTGGCTAGAGAAGCCCTAGAATGTTGCAAGCAGAGCTTAATAGGCCATTCTGGCAGGAAAGAGGAAGACCAGAATGCTGAAAGAAATGTAGACAGTAAAGATTGTGCTCAAGAGGCTTTAGAGGGGACCAAGAGCACTTAAAGAACTGGAATAGAGGGGGCTAGAGACATGGTTCAGTGGTTAAGAGCACTAGCTGCTCTTGCAGAGGACCAGGGTTCAATTCCCAGCACCCACAGGACAGCTAACAAACACCTTTATCACCAGTTCTAGGGGATCTAAGACCCTCTTCTGGCCTCTGGCATTGCATTCATGGGAGCACTTACATACAATGCAGGTAAAACACACATACACATAAAAGAAAAACAAAAATGTTTTAAAAGCCATTCATGTTATATTCTAGCAAAGAATTTGCACTCCAAGTCCTGAATACTTGAGTCTGAATTTTAAAATAATGGACTAATCTGTTCAGTGGAGGAAATCTTATGATAGTGTAATATCCAGGTTGTGGCATGACTATTGCTCAATGCAAGTATCCAGATTTATAGCAAGATATCAGCAAATAAAATGGAAAGATCTGACAAATGTGCAGTTTCACAAAAAAAAAAAGAACTTGAACTTGGGTGGAGGGCTGTGGAGAGAAATGTGTGGTTTAGGGAGGAAAGGCTCTTCAACCACAGTACCACCACAGACTAGGGATGAACCTTGCAGCTGTTATTCCACTCACATAAAGATCAAGTGGGCAACATGAATGCATGGAATGAGAAGTTGGGACAGTAGTCAGGCCTAAGGATGAAGGAGGCAATGACTGGGAAGGGCGTATGGAGATTCTGGAATGCTGACAGTGATCTTAGTGCAGCCATTTTCACTTTGTGAAAATTCACCAACCTATATATAATATACCTTTTTATTTTCAATGTTATTCTTTGCTTTTAAAAATGAAGCAATTAAACCAGGCGTGGTGGTGGTGTATGCTTGGCAGAGGCAGGCTGATCTCTGCGACAGTGAGCCCAGCCTGGTCTACTTAGTGAGTTCCAGACCAGCTGGGGTTACAGGGAGACTCTGTCTCCAAAACACAGAAACACAACAACAAAAAAGAGGCAATTCCGTATGTGCTAATCCAAGGAAGAACTCCAAAATCTGTGGTTAAATGATGATACCAACATTTTTGTGGTTCCATGACTGACCATAATACGTCTGTAATAATAATCACAATGGACCCTCACTGAGTTTGACTACCAGCTAAGGTACTGTACTAGGCACTTCACATGCGCTCTATCATGTACCTCAAAAACATGAAGTATGTAGGATTATAATCCTTACTTTATGAATGAGAAAACTCAAGTGCAGAGATAAAGTGACTTGCCCACAGCTACTCTGCACAAAGTTGAAAAACTAGAATGGCAGACCTCTGTAGACAATGTTTACCACCATGCTATCACTGGAAAGATATGCAAGAAACTGGCAATAGTGATGCTTCTGAGAAGGGGACTGGGAACTAGAAGACAGGCAAGAGAAAGGCTGACTTAACACAGCATTCTCCAGGTACCTTTTGAAGGAATTAATTTGTGTATCTTAACTATAGCCAAAAAGAGATTAGTTAAAATTTTCTTTTTATACTTTGTATAACTACACAGACATGCCTCATCCAGAGGATAAGCATAACTCATTGTTTTATTACATTACCTGATTTAGGATGCAAAGCATCACACTGGGCATTGTACATGTGCACAAATTCTTGGTGCCTTTTAATAAGCTGCTGTTTATTTCCTTGAACAGATAATCCATGCTGTTTTAGCTTTTTCTTTAAATCACGATCAGAGAGCAAGTTATACACAGTTTTGGGCAGCGGCTTCCTTTTGTGAACAGAACTGAAAATGAAAAAAAAAAAGATCTCTGAGCATTATGTAAGTTATTATGTTCAAATAAAACAGTAATTTACCCTCTTAAGATCTGACTGACTATAAGAGCAGTAGAGCCACTAAGATAAAAAGAGGAGGAGCCAGGCTTAGTAGCCCATGCCTTTAATCCCAGCACTCAGGAGGCAGAGGCAGGTGGATCTCTGTGAGTTCCAGGCCAGCTGGGACTACAAGGAGACCCTGTCTCAAAAAGACCAAATTAAAAAGATAAAAAGAGGAGGGTAGGGGTGGGGGCAGTAAAAAGCTGGGGAGGTGAAAACAGGAGGATCCCTGAGGCTCACTGGCCAAACAGCCTAATCTAACCAGAGCTCCAAGTAATAGTGAGAGACTCTATCTCAGAAAACAAAGTAGACAGTCCCTGAGGGATGATACTAAAGTTGATCTCCAGCCTCCACATGCATGCTCATATACATGTGCACTCCCCCAACAGAAACATGAGCATACATATATATCCAAAGAAAACAGGTAGGTAAGAAAATAGAAAGCCAGACAGATGAGAAGGGTCATCTTAAGCATGCAACTGGGTAGTTCAATTCTATGGACAATCAGGTACATAATAAGTATATTTTCAAGGTGGTCTTTACAACTGTAATAATTTCAAAATGACAACAGCAAATAGGAACTTTAAGAGAAAAAAAAAAAAGCAAAAGACATTCACAGACTGAGTTTACAAAGGCTTCCTAAACGTCAGTGAACCTCAGAACTATCTGGAAGAGTTTGTTTAAATGCAGATGTTTGGTCCTTTTCTCCACAACACACATCCAATACAGTGCAGGCCTGAAGTGGAAACTGAAAATTTTCACTTTCCACAAAATTCTCCAAGAGACATCTGCTGCAGTTGTCCAAAGGTCATACGTACAGAGCTACTACAGTTAAGTATAGATAAAACATCTCCACAAACCAGCTGGGTTATTTCCTGGCTAAATTATCTGTTTTCTGTTCCTTAGTAAAGTCTAAATACTAACAGAAATAACTACTTACCTGTAAAAGGACCTGCAAATCTCAATATAGTATATTTTCTCAAAATTGTTCTTATAATGGCAGCCAATTGGACACTACAAGACTGAAAAAAATTATGGAAAAATAAAACCACAGTGGAAAGCAACAGCTGTTCTTTCCACAGGAGTTTATAACAAACACAAAAGGAAGGTCAATTCATTAAGTTCCTACCTGAAACATTTATTTTATCAAGGAGAGATAATTAAGTTTACAACTATGGAATTCTAATAAAGATCTGTAGTGATGACTGACATTCACAATGAAAAGCATCATGAAAGAACAATTTCTATCAAGAATTTGAAACTATGAAGTCAGAGAAATGTTTCCCTGAATATAAAATGGCATCTTTTCTACATGATTATTGAGAATGATGTATTGTGTTTCAGGGGCCTCAGAATCAGGACATCAAGAGAAAGAGGTATGTTCTGAGCCATTAAGGAGACAATTTTATATAGGACAGGTTAAGGTTGTCACCCATACCCAGGAGTTGACCTTTTAGGTGCTATAAAGGAGACTGAAAAGCATAGAGACTCTTCTATGTGACCAAAGCCCAGGTCACAATATAACTAAAAAGATTCAGCTCAATGCTTCCCCAAGTATGTTTGACCAATTTTGTAAGAGAAGAGTTATGAGGACAAAAAGACCTGGAGTCAATTGGCAGACCAATTGGCAGAACTCAAGTACTCTGTGGAGCCAGACTTGGAATACTATTAGAACTCAAACTGAACTACACATGGATAGTATATCTTTGGACATTTTTTTTTCCCTGTCTTTTTGAGACAGGGTCTCCCTGTAGCCCTAGTTGGTCTGGAACTCACTATGTAAGCTGGCTTTGAACTCACAGAGATATGCCTGCCTCTGCCTCCGAAGCACTGGGATTAAAGGCATGTGCCACCACACCTGGCTTATGGATAGTACGCCTTTGAATAAATCAATAGAACTAACTATATTAGAAAAAATATGACAGATACATCCAGGAGAGTGCAATCCAAACAAGATTATCACTGTGGATTTCTCATTCTTGGTTTCTCCACTTCCAACCCATTCTTTGGGGACAAACATTTATGAAGAAAAAAGCAGGTTATGAGTCTGGCTTACAAGAAATAATCCCTGGGACTATCTAGTTACATTTATTCCACATTCTCCTTTACTCGGCAATGTAAACATCTAAATTTTATTCCCCTCAACAAACTCACCCACAAGGAAGGAATACTGTGAGCACAAGACTGTCCCAGATTTGGAATCAAGTGTGACCTCTATTGAAAGTTAATAGCGCATCACTATGCTTTAACATTAGCCTTTGTAAGTTACAGCAACAGGAGTCTGTTCCTTGGAACCTCCATTCACTCTACATTTACTCATAAAAATTAACAGCATTTTACCTTTAATCATTAAAAATAGTAAAATGGTCCTGCTTTATTAACATACTTTTTGGAGAATACTCTTCCAACTCCTTAAAAACAGATCAAACACAAGGGCCCATCATTCTATTCACATCCACTTTCCAGACACCTCGTGTCTGTTCCATGTATCATCTGACAATGGTAGGACAGACTGAAGATTTGACCCCTATTTTTAAAGTATCATTCTCCCTCAATCACGCCTTCCCTAACTGCATCTCTTGTCACCAGACTCAAACTTACAACTTCTACTTCCTTATTGTCTTCATTACCCACTGATTCCTGAATTCCTCACAATTTAACTTCAATTAAAATTCCAGTCCTTGAACAACTTATATGTATAACAATACATATAGGTGGAGTGATTTAAGAAATTGTGACTTTAATGCATAAAGGCAGCAGAATAGCATAGTAGTTTGGGTACAAATATTGACCTGAAAATTTATTAGTTCTGTCATCTCAGTGGTTTGGAAGGAAGGTCCTTACATTTCATACATACTCTTTGGCAAGGGAGGAAAAACCAGGGCACAGGGATGGAATGTGTCGATATGTGGACCACTTACCTACAACTTTTCTATAGCCTACACTGCCCCTGATTCTCTTGCCTCAACTTTCTGAGTGTTGAGATCACAGGTATGCACCACCAGGCCCAACTAAATATACCCTTTTGTACCATTTTTATAGAATATTATATATAACTGCCTATTCAAACAATAAATTTTTGAAAAAGCTCAATTTAAAGGCTAGGTTCAGCAATTTAAAGGCTCTGGGTTCAGCACCATATACATGCATTCAAATATATGTTTGATTAAAGTTACTATTTAAAATATTAATGTTTTAGGGGCTAGAGAGATGGCTCAGCAGTTAAGAGCACTGGCTACTCTTGCAGAGATCTCTGCAGGTATTGCACAACATGGCTGCACTTACATATATGTAGGCAATATACTCATACACATAAAAAATGTTTTAAAAAACTATTCTTTACTATTTTTATTCTTTTATGTGTATGAGTGTATTGCCTACATGTAGGTAAGTGCACCCGTGTCATGCAATGCCCATGGAGGACAGACGAGGCCATCGGATCCCCTGCAACTGGAGTTATGGACAGTTGTTAGATGCCATGTGGGTGCTGGGATTCAAACCCAGGTCTTCTGCAAGAACAACCAGTGTTCTTAACCACTAAGCCCACTGAGCCATCTATCTCTCCAGCCCCAAGGAAAAAAAAATTTTTTAATATATTAAAAAGCCAGGCATGGTAACACACTCCTTTAGTCTCAGCACTCAGGAAGCAGAGGCAGGCAGATCTCTGTGAGTTCAAGGCCAGCCTCGTCTACATGGTGAATTCCAGGCAGCTGGGGCTACAGGGAAACCTCCATCTCAAAAAGACAATATATATAAATAAGTTTTCATTGTTTATGTAAATATTTATCTTAAATAACCTAAGGACCAAAGAAAGATTTTTACATGTTCTATACTGAAGCAAGCTATCATAGCTTTCTCTGGCCAAGGCCTTTTATGGTAGTTTGAGAATTATAAGAAGAAAATAAGTTTAAAAAAGAAATTAAATTCTAAGCCACGCAAACATTCAGCACACTAATTATATATGGCAATGTATGCACTGAGGAGGAGGGGAAGGGGATGGAGAGGTAACCACATAATTAAAGGAAAAATCAAGCAGGAAATGAAACAGGACAAAATGAATCCTAGGTGTTCAAGTTTGTAAAGTGCAGAAGTGCCTAGCTAAAGCAGCTCAACACTTACGCTCAACCTTCTCACCTTCGGAGGCTTTCGATCTTCTCTTCACGTGACAAGCAGCTGTCTAGATGCTTATTAATGTGATTTTCTGGAACATTAACCCCGCAAACAGGACAAGCCACTGTGTTTTTTAAAAAGAGAGAGACTTCATTAACTATAGAAAGGGCGAAAATAACATAAGCTAGAATTATCAGCAATTAGAAAAAGAGAGTCTCAGCTTAATAAGCACTTACAGAAGCCCATGAGGGCAAGGAGAGTGAGGCAGACTAATTACCAGCTACACTGTGGAACTCACACATTGGAAGTCCAAAGCAGAGACTGCAAGTAAGTTTGGGAATTACTTAATTAGAAAATGCTTTGGTTATAACTTTTCTGCCAAGATATCACCAAACCCTAAAACTAATCGTAAGCTTTCTCAAGCCCTAGAAGCCACCCTCACATAGCACAGAAGCCAGCATGGTCTATATAGTAAGTCCAGGGAGACCCTATCTCAAAAAAACAACAAAGAAAGCGGTGACAAAGGGAGGAGAGAAGGCACAGTGACTGCAGTCTCCAGGCCTGCCACTCCTACCTTAACAGAACACAGAATTTCATCTATTTTATGTTACAGTTCATTCTATGACTTCATTTGGTAAAAAGAAAAATTCTTCAGGGGTTGAAAAAAAATGTTTATTACTGTTCACTATCAAACTAGAAATACAACAGCAAAAACTGTCAGTGAAAGATTGATCACAGTTGAGAAATGGTAGGAGACACATACAAACACAATTTACAGACCAAAACTACTAATTCCAACTTTTCTAAGTTTCATAAACAGCTTTGAACTGTGAGTTGTATGGGTTTACTAAGGACAAATATTCTTAGTAAAGGACAAGGTAACAGAGGATTTGGGCTTCCTAGGTCACTACTGATACCATAATCCTGTCTCTGTCACCAGACAACTTGGCCACTCCAGCATGAAAACATGCAAACAAATGGGGATGTGTGTTTCAGTAAGTATTTATCCATCAAAACTAGTGGCACACCAGATTTGACCTCTCGGTTGTAGCCTATCGTCTATGGGTATACTCTAGGAAGAACAAGTATCAGCTTGGCTAGAGACAGATCCTGGGAGGGAAGGCTAAGCGATAAGACAGAGCTGCTGGAGTCTAGGTCAAGTGCCCAAAGGCTTTAAATGACAGAGCAGCATTGAGGTGTTCAGTGGTATACTAAAATAGAGACCTCTTTAAGATTAGTCTGAACTGGATAACGGGAGAAGGGATTTCAAGCTGAAAAACAGAAAGCTACTTCTACAGGAGAAGTATGGAGGAATCAGACCATTTCACTTTTATAGGAATCATCCTGATGTCTATTCTGTGAGAAATACTTACCTCTAAGCACTGACTACATGAATGTCCAAGACTGCAATAATCTAAATCAGGCTAGCGCTAATCTGTTCCTTCCCACCCACCCGCTCAATAGTGCGCCATCAGTTCTTACATCATGTAGATGAGATCTCCTTAAGTATAAAAATGCATACAAAAACAGCTTCCTACCTTTAGTGTCTGGTTTCACAGTGGATGTTGAAGGTGTCACAGGACCATTAGCATCTGAGGAACTAGGTGCCATCTTTCCTACAAAATTTATCTCTTTGGTCTCAGTAGACGTGCTTATCTCTTTTTGAGGGCTGAATTTGCTGTCATTTTCTTTTTTCAATAACTCTGATGTACAATCACCAGCTTCTCTGATCAAGAACTTGTCCATTAACCTGCTTCCCTGTTTGACAGGATGGCCAGTGGCTCCAGCAGTTTGTACTTTGACAACTTTCTTTGAGGTGGAAGACACAGGAGATATGGGTGGTGACTCTAAAGCAAACTGCAACAGGCGAGTCCTTGAAACACACACACACACATACACACACACACAGAAACAACAGATAATTAGGATGTCAAATTATATATAAATGACTGATCTACAAGAGGTTTTCCCAATTAACACTTGTCTCACTGAAACACAGATCTTCCACATAATCACAACCAAACTAAAGAATTTTTTTTTTCTAAAACAAAAAACAAAGCAATACGAGGGCTGGGCACAGCTCAGTGGTAGAATGCTTGCCTAGCATGTGTAAGCCCAGGGTTCGATCCTAAACACTACAAAAACAAATTAAAAAAAGCACTAAATCTGATTTGAAAGGTAGTTACTATGACTATGAAAGGAATTTGATGGGTTTTAGGTTCTAGCCACTGAGTAAAGATGATATGAGACTCACTCTACAACAGGTGAGTAAAATCTAGAGAAATATATAAAACAACAGTTGGTAGCACTAGAGTACAAGAACATAGAAGTGTCATTCCTGAGAGAGAAAAGACTAATGAGTGACCCAATATTCACCAAAGATTTTAACTGGAAACACTTTCTGGGATTTGGATATTAAACTAACATCCAAACAGGAAAAATGATCACACTGGCTAGTGAGAAAAGAGCACAGTTCTGGGCAAAGGTGGTGAGGACTCAGGGGAAAGGATATTAGACAGATGGAAAGGATACTAGACAGATAGAAGTCTAAGAAGGAAACCCCATAATTTGCTGAAAAATTCTCATCCACAGAGTCATGTCCAGGGTATACAAGCAGAACAAAACCACGGGGGACCTGGGAGGAAAAAGATACTGGAGAAGTGAGACGTGGAGGTCAGCATTGGAAAGTTGTTGAACTTGAGCCCAGCCAAAGTGGAAACACCCTCATGAAGACCATGGAAATTAAGTCATAGACACCCTACCTTAGGAAAAAGGACCATACTGTATGTGCACATGCATGTATGTGCATGCATACATGTGTATACATGTGTTAGTCTAAAATAGACTTCATCAAGGCACCAAGGCTTGGCCCAACAAAAGAGCTACATCCCCAAACCCCTTAAAAAATCTTAGTGGGCAAAGATTTTTAGGCAGGATTGAGGGGCATTAACAGAGAGGGGAATGGGACAGGGGAGAAGGAAACAGAGGAGGGAAAGAGAGACTAGACTTCATCAAAACTAAGGCACTGGCAGGTTTGATGGCACAGTTCTATAATCCAAGCACTTGGAGGTGGAAACAGGAAGAGAAGAAGTTCAAGGCCATCCTCAACTACACAGCAAACCTGAGGTCTGAGCTACATGAGACCCTGGCTCAGAAAATAAACAAAAAAATTTTAAAACATCTGCTCATCAGAAAATGAAAAGGCCAATGTATTACTTTCCTCACTGCTGTAACAAAGCAACTTCAGGAAAGAAAGGCTTATCTTGGCTCACAGTGTGAAGATACAGCCCATCACAGTGGGAAAGGCATGATAGCAGGAGCAGGAAGCAGCTGTCACAGCACCTCTGTAGTCAGGAAGCAGGAAGAGGTGTATGCTGGTGCTCAGCTGGCTTTCTCCTTTTTATTTAGTCCAGGATCCAAGCCTTGGGGATGGTACAGCCCACATTCAAGGTGGATCTTCCCTCCTCAGAGAAACCTTCCTGGAAACCCCTCAGACACACTCATAGGTGTATTTCCACGGTGATTCTAATCTCCTTTTTCTCTTATTTATTTTTATTTTATGTGTAAATGCACCCATGTCGTATAATGCCTGTAGAAATCAGAAGACAATGTTGGATCCCCTAGAACTGGAGTTACAGATGGTTGTTAGCCAGCATGTGGGTGCTGGGAATCATATCCAGGTCCTCTTACAAGAGCAGTCAAGGCTCTTAACTGCTGAGCCATCTCTCCAGCCAGGTGATTCTAATTTCAATTCAAGATGACAATGAAGGTTAATCACCATAGTCAGTCACAGACAGGAATGAAAACACTACAATATAGATCTTGGGCCAAAGCATATAAAAAGTTCCTGACAAATCAATAACAATTTTTAAAAACTGAACCAAAAAAAACTGGAAGGATCTTCAAAAAGAATAAAAATACTCAATAAACACATAAAGATACATTATGCATCAAGAAATGCAAATCAAAATTAAAATGAGTTACCATTTCACATCCAACAGAATGCTTAAAGACACTGAAGTTCCAAATATTAACCAGGATGTGGGGCAACTGAAACTCCCAGACATGCTGAAGGATTCCACCTCACTGGGAAACACAGACTACACACAAGTGTGCAAAGTGAAAATAATCTCACTGTATCAAGAAATGAGTAGGCAAGCACAATGTGCATACCCACGTGAAATTTGAAAATGATGTGTTTAATGGAAACCTGGGCATTGGTTACCACTAGGGCAGGGACTGAGCAGAAGCAGAGTAAGAAAATTTTCTAAGGCAACAAAAATGTTCTCCCCCCGCCCCCACTTTTTTTAGAGAGGGTCTCACTAAGCAGCTCTGGCTGGCCTGGAACTCTGTGGACCAAGCTGACCTGGAACACACAGAGATCCACCTGCGTCTGCTTCCAAAGAGGTATGATTAAAGCTACCATGACTGGAACAATGTTCTACTCCTTGATTGTGACGGTAACCATACAGATGTTAGCATATTTCAAAAACTGGTGATCACTGGGTACTGAGGCATATACCTATAATCATAGCATTTGGAAGACTGAGGCAGGAGGATAGCAAGTTGAAGGACAGGTTGGGCTACATGAGATATAGCCTTGGGGGGTGGGGCTGAGCATGGTGGTGCTGTCTGTAATCTAAGCAGTGGGGAGGTAGAAGCAGGAGGATCAGAAGTTCAAAGTCATCCTCAGCTACATGATGAGCTCAAGGCCAGCCCAGACTAAATGAGACCCTGTCGCAACATACATACACACAAAGATTTAGTGCTCAAAACACACACTTGCTATATGTGTTGCATTATATGTTAAGTTTTACCATTTTTAAAAATCAACAGATAGTAGAAATAGTAACAATCTAAAGAACCTCAATGACATACTAATCCTAAAGGTGAAAACTAAAGACTGGGAATACCAAATGCTGGAGAGGATATGGCGTAACTGGAACCCTCATTTTGCTAGCTGGCGTATAACCAATTCTAATCATTGAGAAGATTTAGAGATACCAGCAAATAAGCCAGAGGGTAAAGGCTCCTGCCACCAATCTGACAGTCTGAGTTCCATCCTTGGACCCACATGGTAGAAGGAGAGAACCAACTCCGGTGTTCACTTGTGCAATGTGGCATGTCCATGCTCACATATGCATGTGCACGCACTCACATATGCATGTATGTGCACGCGCACACACATACAGTAATAAAATGTAACTTTAAAAATTAAAAATAGATACCAAACAATAAATAAGCAAATGACTACCCTATGCCCTAGCAACCCACAGTTCTAGGTATGAACTAAGTGAAATAAATGCATGAAGACATGTACAAGATGTTCACAACAGGGCTGATAAGATGGTTCAAGGGTTAAAGCACTTGCTGCCCAATCATGAGGATCTAAGTTTGAATCCCCAACACCCATATAAAAAGCTGGGCATGACTATGCACATGCTTATCATAACCCCAGTGCTGTGAGAGGGGGGAAAGAGGAGGATCACCGGGGCTTGCTGGCTGCCAGCTTAATTCCAGTTCAAGAGATCAATGCTGAAGAGTGACAGAGCAGCATACCCAATGTTCTCCTCTGGCCTGCATACCTGCACACACATGTGCAAACACACACACACACACAAATAAATGCATGCATGAACATGTATGCTGTACTAAGCAGTTGTACTCACACAAAAACTATTAAAGAATCCAAGCTGGGCATGGTGGCACATGCCTTTAATCCCAACATTTGGGAGGCAGAGGCAGGTGAATCTCTGTGAGTTCAAGACCAGCCTGGTCTACATAGTGAGCTCCAGGCCAGGTGGGCTACAGGGAGACCTGGTCTCAAAAAGACAAAAAATAAATAAATAAACAACAACAACAACAAAAAAAACTATAAAGAATCCAAATTACCTATCGATAAGAAAACAAAAAATGGCTACAATAGAAAATTATAGAAAAAGATCATAACGATGATCTATTATTTCATTAGATTTCCATTTCTCTATAAGTCCAAAATCAATAAAACCACCCTCTTCAATACTCACACCACCTAAGGGTTAGCCGCTTCACTGGACACAAAATGTTATAAAAAGAGACAAAGTAATGAAGTTCTACAGAATTCACAAAGTTATTTACATCAAGATGTTCTGTTTCGTATTATAATTAATTGCCATTCACAATCTGAAAGCTTGGCTTCTCTTAATAATGTCTTGGGACTAGGAAAAATAGCTTATATTTTAAAATGAATAATCCCAAATGAAAGCAGGCAGGCAGATGATTAGAAGAATCAAGATGGACAATAAACTGTAAGTGTTTAAGTTAGGTGCAAGGTGGGGACCGGCATGGGTTCATTATACTATCTTCTCTACTTTCATGTATATTTGAATTTCCAATAATAATAATAATAATAATGGAAAAGAAAGAAAAACTAAGCCAGGGTGGAAACAAATGCCTATAATCTCAGCACTCAGGGGGCTGAGACAGAAGATTCAAATTCAAGGCCAATTTGGGCTATATAGCAATCTAACAAAAAGTATGAAAGGAAAGGAGAAAGGAAGAAGAGGAGGAACAGAAGGAAAGAAAATCAGGATGATTTAAAAAACAACAGCAACAAAAAAAAATAAACAGCTAAGGATCTTGGTCTTAAAGACAAAGAAATAATAATTAAAAAAAATAATAGAACCATAATTTTTAAGTCTCTTTTCCTTCCAGTATCTAGATGTGGTACAAAGAGGGTTCTGAGAACATCTTTCCTTTCCTATAACAAAGGGAAGCACACACTAGTTAACCAATAGATGAGATGGTCACTGATGAAACACTTCCCACTGTGCAGAGTAGTCCTTTCAATATCCTGAAGATACCTTTTTTGTTCTTATTCCACAATTCAGATGA